TATACAGGCCTACACAACACTGTGTCCATTCCAGGTCTTCGTATTTCACCATTGTTGCTTGGACGTTTTACTAAAGAACCAGAGGACAAAAGTTACCTGCATATACCATCGCGTACCAGCTCGTGGGAAGTTCTTACTCAGCGTACGGGAAAACTTCCTGCCTGGTGCCTTCATGAACCATCGGAACCCTTAAAATTCGCATGCCAGTTTTTTTTTCTGTTTTCACATGTTTATTGAACAAAGTCATGGACACCCAGTATGGCTAACCACCATACTTGCTTGGCCGTTTTACTATTTAACAACCAGAGGACAAAAGTTACCTGTATACCAGGTCGAAGGAAGTTTTTACCCAGCGTCGGGGAACAATTCCTGCCTAGTGCCTTCGGGAACACTGGACACCTTAAAATTCGCATGTCGGGGTTTTTTCATGCGTTTTTCTGAACAAAGTTATGTACGACCACTATGGCTGTAGCAACATTCCATGTTGTAATGCATATAGGGATGCATATACAAAATGTCAAATTAGTCTGCAATAAAAAAAATTATGTTATAAAGTTTAACAGCATTTTTTGTTTTCATAGTCTTAAATAGCAAGAAACATATTGTGAGATGCACAAAAATGAGGTACTGTTTTCATATGGTTTAATTTGTGTATGTAAAATTTCCCAAGAATGATGATGTTATTGATCAGAAAGTCAGCTTTAGAGTTGTCCACCAGACCAAATATAATGTCTTAGGCCTGGGTGTGGCTAGTGAAACTGAACTCCAAAAAATGTGATTAACCACAGTAAATTCATGATTTAACAAGGGGGAATTACTTTTTCACATAGGGCCATGTACTGTAGGTTCAGATAACTTTTTTCCCTTAATAAATATATTTACCACTTAAAAACTGCATTTTGTGTTTACTTGGGTTTTCTTTGTCTAATATGTAAATTTGTTTGATGATCTGAAACATTTAAGTGTGACAAATATTGAAAAAAATAAGAAACCAGGAAGGGGGCAAATACTTTTTCACAGCACTGTACATGCATGGCTGTGTATGTATGCATATGCATACACACAGTACATATGCATATTTGCAAATATACTGTATGTATATGCAAGACAGTATGCATATATGTTTAAGTGCTTCCTACCAGTACATATATATGTGCAAGTGAAGTAATTCATCTATGCATATATGGCTTCTGATAGAAAGTCATGTATTTAAACAAAAGCTAACCTTATGCCTGGTTCACAATACATGATTGCTTGTCTGATATGATAGTGTCTGTGTCAGATTACAGTTATAAGCATAAATTCTTGAACAATGGATAGTACAGACTACACATTGTTACCCGACAGTCTGACGTCATTCATGAAGTGTTAAAAGTGTGACATCACAGGATCATAAATCTTCAGTTCACATCTCAGTTGGACAGATACTGTCCATTATTACTCTCCAACATGGTCCCAGTGAATGTCTGCTTGAGCTAAAGTTTATGAAAATACTATGTTTTTGCAGCAAAAACTTTTGTTAATTTTCAAAAGTTTTGCAGAGTACAAACCTACCTTGCCAATGTTTAACCAGCAGTTATATTCCTAAAACCTATATACTATCAGGCACAGGATGAGCTACTTGAATCAATGCAGGAAACGACCATTTCATGTCAGTTTTTGAATGCAATACAAACTCATGTTGATATTGCATAAAAACAATCGTGCAGCCACTGCAACAGATGTCAGGTCATGTGCTGTAGAACCTCCTTCTGCCTGTTTCAACCATTTCATAGCCAGCTAGTTATCCAGAATATGCACATATGAACTGTCAGTGTTAAAGGCTGGAACCTATACCACAAACCTAGACAGGATCAGGACAGATGAGCAGGTAAAACTCTGCTAGTGTTAAAAACCACTGTTTAACCAGTTTAATTAGTTATACACTCCCTGACAAAAAGTCTTGTCACCTATCCAAGTTGTAGGAACAACAAATAATAACTTGACTTCTAGTTGATAATTTGGAATCAGATGGGGCTTATATAAAAGGCAAAGGCCTCTAGATTATGCTTATTTTACCAAAATAAAATCTTATCATTCCTTGATTTTTAATTATTTAATTAGGACAGAAAGGTCAGACTTTGCTTAGACAAAAGTCTTGTCGCATAACAAAATAATGTACAGTACAGAACATAAAGTCATGGTGCTGTGGAAAAAGAATTAATATTGTGTATGACTCCCATGAGCTTGGAGGACTGTATCCATACGTCTCAGCAATGACTCAAATAACTTATTAATGAAGTCATCTGGAACGGCAAAGAAAGCATTCTTGCAGGACTCCCAGAGTTCATCAAGATTCTTTGGTTTCATCTTCAATGCCTCCTCCTCCATCTTACCCAGACATGCTCAATAATGTTTATGTCTGGGGACTGGGCTGGAGCAACTTGACTTTCTTTGCTTTCAGGAACTTTGATGTGGAAGCTGAAGTATGAGACGGAGCGCCATCCTGCTGGAGAAATTCAGCCCTCTCTTGTGGTTTGGAATGTAATGGGCAGCAAGAATGTCTTGTTTCTGGTGACCAGTTGTTATGTAGCTCTGCTGCAGTTGAAAAATGGCTGGCCCTGGACAGTCAGAGCAACAAATGGTCCTCTTGAACAGTTGTCTTACAGGGTCTGCCTGACCTGGGCCTGTCATGAATTTCACCAGTTTCTTCAAATCTTTTACTTATCCTCTCCACTTGACGTTTAGATAAATTAAAGATATTTAGTTGTCTTCTGTTTAATGCTGGTTTCTGAGCACTAATTCGGCCATTGAGACCAATGTGTGAGAGAATTTGACAAACTGTTCTTGTAGATACAGGGGTTTCTGGTGACCAGTTTTTATGTAGCTCTGCTGCAGTTGAAAAATGGCTGGCCCTGGACAGTCAGAGCAACAAATGGTCCTCTTGAACAGTTGTCTTACAGGGTCTGCCTGACCTGGGCCTGTCATGAATTTCACCAGTTTCTTCAAATCTTTTACTTATCCTCTCCACTTGACGTTTAGATAAATTAAAGATATCTGCCACCTCAGCAGGAGACTTGGTCTCCAGGCTCTTGATGATCAGCACTTTGTTCTGTGGTTGAATCTTTGGCATGCTGTCAGAGGTCAGGTTGCATTTCAAATGAAGGTTGGGTGTGTTGGGGTTCTTCTTATACACACCTGGGAATGTGTTAATTACAGTATTTGTCACAGGTGACGTTCTAATCTGTGACTGGTTGAATCCTTTAAAGATACGGCAAGACTTTTGTCCTTGCAGAAACCGATGTTGGCTTTACAAAGCTGTGACACTTTTTAATGGCTTCATTTTGCACCCAGTTTTAATGTGAATGCCCTTGACATTAAAATTAACTATTTATTTTGACAAATGAATGATTACAAATAAAGTTATATGACATTTTAGGTTACTATGTCCTCATAGGACAAGCCTTTTGTCAGGGAGTGTATTTACTTTACATAGAAAATGATAGGATGAGTAAAAAAACAACAAATTAGCTATTCACATTAAAAACTATTTATGCAAATGTGATGTTACATTAGGTTTCACTGATAAGGGCAAGTCTGGTTTCAATAAATCAAGATGTCTACTAAAAACTCATAAATATAAACAAATCAGAAAAAAGAAGGATTTTTTTCCACTTTAATTCAGCCAACATGGAAAAAAAAACAAATAAAAAAGCAATAACAGGTAATTACAAAATCTTTGTTTCAGTTGAAAGCAGGTCAGCTTAGAACACTCTTAAGATTCTGATGTTTTTTTGTGTACCGCTGTAAAAAAACAACCAAAACACTAATATTAAGGTCTTGGTACAATCCAGTATTGGAAGTTTAAGTTAAAAATGCTTTTTTCCTCTCTTTTCCAAAGCAGGGATGAAGTCAGAAGTCCTGCCGGATAATTATGTCCGTGTGTGTGTTGTGTTAGTACATTTTTCAATGCTCCTTGTGGTCTCCGTCCTCCTCGAGTTTCCTGATCTCTGCCTTCAAGTAGTTGATGCTTTCTCTGCTGGCTTTGAGTTTGTCTTTCAGCTCTGCAATCTCCTGACTGGTTCTTTTCTTTGCTGCTTCCATTTTCTCCTTGGTCCTCTGCTCCAGCTCACTGACTGCGGATGCAGGAAGGTGTGGACATAAGCACAATTATAGCAACTCAAATCATGTGTACGTTACTCTTCAGCACAGCATCACATACTAGTCAAAACTAAAGTGACAACACTAGCCTTTATACACACACTTGAATCCTGTGTTTCTATGTTCATTGTGTATGAAGTGCACATACACTCTGTCTCATGCTTGTATGCTCCCAGGGTCAGCTGTCTTGATGTAGTCAGTAGCTGCTGCATCATGGCTGTAGGATCCTGGAAGATCTGAGAAACATTCAGGTGTATCAGTTTCACAATCCTTAATTTCCAGCTAAGCCTCTCTGGTCATTTCATCTATTACGTCAAAATACTAATACCATGTAGTTGAAACAGTTTGAAAGTATAAATTTCACAAGGGTGAAAACCCATGGTCATAAGCATCTGCATGAAAGCACTGTACCATTTCATCATAGAATTCAGAGACAACTGTCTTCTTAGGCATGGCACTGGAATCTGACTGGAAAAGCTTCAACAGATGGTACAGTGTCACCTAAGACACAGACAAACACAGAACACCATCAAAGAATCAGCAACACTTTCTACTAAATACTAATTCTTATGTGTTGAGAATGTAGTATTAAGATGCAAAGCAGTTACATACTTCTAGCATTAACTATGGAGCTGAAACACAGTATTTAAAATTTCTGATAACTAGTGATGGCTCTTACAGGTCTCTCATTGGGATCAATGAAGAAAATCTTGATGACAATCTCAAACTCGCCCCAGCCCGTTTCTGTAATCTCATATGGAGGCTTTGTCACCACTGGAAAGCAGAAAAACCACAATAAACTAGATGGACCACCAACTCAGTCACACCGTGAAAGCTTTATACTGCCATTATATATCTGCTCCTATGCTTCAGGTGCAAACTTGTAACATAATGGTCTACTCACCTCTCAGTGGGTTACCGTAGCTCTCATGTAGCTTAAACTGGATCTTCTTCACATAAGCAGACATATCCTGGTAGGGCAATGTTATGTATACATATAAACAAAATTAAGGAACAATTTTTAACCTGAGAGCAGAAATGGCTGCCCTAATATTTTCAACTAGTTGCAGTGTGTAAATATAAACTGCAGTATTTAACAGCCTTGAACAGCTTTGATGTGAACTGATGTCTGACCTCATTTCTGTAAGGCTTCACGTAGACTGACCACTGGTGTGTGTGTCCATCCTCCTCTCTCTTCTTCCCAAAGTAACGAGCAACGTTTCCAAACACAATGGGCTTCACAATAGTCACTCCCTACACATCACACAGAAAACACATTGATTCATAAACATGTGCTATTGAAAAACAAGTATACTGTAACAGCATATTTCTGCCATACTATCTGATTTATATAAGCTACCAAAATGCCTCTACTCGGCCAGTGTATCTATTTAAAAGATAAAGCGAATGAATTGTTTCAGAACGCACACTAGCATGGCGTTACCTTAACTCGTCCCCCGGAATCTGGACCAAATTCAGTCATCTTTTTGAACATAGTACAGTGACGTTGATCTCCCAGCAAACTTTATAGGACTCTTGTTCCACAGCACCTACCTAGATTTAATAACGCGGCCATTTAAAGCATTAAAAGTGTTATCTATATAACACGCAACCTTGTTTCGTACTGCGAGTCAAACAAGTGCCGGAAGTTGAAAGTGCAACATCCTTAGTGCTCCGATAGGAATGGGACAAGTAGACATTACAGTTCCGTTGTATCATGTGTTCCTTATTCCAACCAGATAGCCTATTTAACCTGCCCTAAACCATAACAATGGCTATGGAACAAAGACGGAAAACAGACTGCTAATTGACTAATCTGTGAATAAGTAAATATATTTGTTGTGAATAATAACTTCTACCCACACACGCTCCAAATGTCATTTCCGCTGTCAAATCTGTTAACATTACAGACTAATTTGATCAAATTACAGCAGCCGACTTTCACAAATTTCCTGACTTTCTGAGCTCTTCCTTTGCTTAAATGTGGTCTAATTTGGTTGAAAACGGAGCGATTGAAAAAAAATCCTTTTCAACACAATCTTGTTATGTTAGACCACCTCAATTGTCCGTTGTGTATTTTTTATTAGCTAAAAAATGAAGTCATTTTAATATTTTGACCTATACACCACCAATTTGGGCAGCATTTTGAATAAAAAAAATAACTGGCTTCAGCTTACATAATGGTTTTATACTTGTATAGCGCTATTCTATGCATTGCAGCACACTAAAAACGCTTTCACACTACTTGGCCATTCACCCATTCACACTCGCACATCACCAGGAGAAACTGGAGGCTCTGTCTTACTCAAGGACACTTCGACATGTGGACTGGACAGGCCGGGAATCGAACCGTTAACCTTCCGGCTTGTAAACGCCCCCATTACTGAACTAGGGGCCAAAACATTTTGCCCATATCTAATGACCTTAGTAAATACGCAAATACATAAAGTCACAAGAGCAAATTGAATTCAGAAATATTTTATTTGTTTAGACTATTGACCATTTAATTGGGCTCCATGTATCTATAACAGTAGATGTATATTCAGAACAAGACATCATTAGCAACAGGGATGTCAAAAGTCTGGAATGGAAATAAAATAAAATGTACCCCCCTATTCTATAATAGCAGGATATACAAGTTCTCCAGCTACTGTAAAAATTTTAAGTTATGTAGCCCTGAGAGTCCCCGCCTTTTTACAATTATTTATATTTAGTCAAATTCCACTTGTCAAACACATCTGACCAATAAAGCTGATTCTGATTTACACACATAAAAATAACTACAAAATTCAACAAAGGCGGACAATTCCCTACATTGGGTCTTAGTTTGGGCCCTTAGCTTAAATTTAAACATCTATTCCACAGTGTAAAGGTAGCTAAAGATCAGATCATATAACTAATGAAAACATTCTACATTACACCACTCAAGTGAAATACTGAAAACACACAAAGATACTTTCCAGCATCTTGTCAGAGGTAGAGCGTTGGTCTGGTTTAACCTAGCTTCATCCAGATTTCCTCTGGACTGTTTCTTCATCAGTGATGTAGACCTGAAAACACTTACCTTAAGCTCTATGGAGAGATGTCAACACAAGGCAACTACATGTGACACCAAACTGTTGTTACTGAGAGATCTGTATACATGTTCTTATTCTGGCTGAGTAGACCTCTGTTTAGGTTCATACTAGGTGGAGCTGTGCTAAAATGTACATGTACATAAAGTTGTAAAGCGTCATGCCCCTGCTGGTGCAACAGAAGAGGAAAAGATGTCCATCAAATTACAACTGTACGACATGGTCAAGTCAGCCACAATAATATTAAAACAAAAACAAGGCCAAGTAGGGGCTTAAAATGTCAAAAAGAATCATGCAAAAATCTGCCTCTTAAGTGCAAAAGTTCAATTTTTCACATTTTTTGTATCAAAACCCAATTTACATTTAAAAAAAAACTCATTTACAGATCTTACAGGGTTACGGGTGCAGAGAGCTTTCAGTATACTGTTAGAACAAGAGCATAGTTCAAAGACGGGGGTATAAAAATGCTTAGTTACTATTACAATGTGAATATCTTTTCATTAAAGTTCTGGGTGATTACTGTAGCCATTACAATGGAGGAGGATGGGGTCCACAATTTATACATCAGGTACATACCTTTGGTGGTGCAATATTTTAGAAGGTGTCATGGTGATATGAACCAACATGACAGAGAAACATCCATTAACAAAACAAAACACTAAGCTGTAACAGGTTAGGAGAAGGAAGAAGAAAACAGAGGCACTGTGGACATGTTAACCTATTATCAGGTGGTGATTCTGTCCGTAGTCATTTGTTTTGGATTACAAATCTAACAACAAGCATTATGACAACCTCTGATGAAACACTGTTGCCACAAATCTTGAGTATTTTTTTCCAAGTGAAAAATTGGTTTGGGCTTATTATTCAAAGTCATACATCTAGGTCAACTAAGTCCATTATATTAGTAAAAAATTTGATTTGAGCCTGTAAAGAAAATAAAAACAAAAGGAAAATTGCTTATGTGCCAAATCCATTACATTTATCATTTAAAAGCTCTGTATGACAAAGTGTTGACATTCTATTTCAACAACGCAAGACAAACAAATGGACGGTCGAATAAAAGATGCAGCGCACTGCATAATATGACGAAGTTAGTGTTTTGCTCCATAATTCATAAAACATGTATAGAATGTATAGAAACAAGCTGTACTGAATTAGGCCTTTATGAGGCAAGAGTTTTAAAAGCAAACACACAAAAACATGGCCCTGTGGAACGTAGGAGCAAATGGCAAATTTTCACCAAACATGATTGGTATTTGAATAAAGACCAATTACATGTAGGCTTAAACTACAATGGCTGATAAAACAAACATGGGTCAAATCTTTGAATGAATGCATTTCACATTAACAAAACATAGTAGAGACTCGAAAGACAATTTGGTGGGAAATGTTCTAGTGCCGACTACTTAGTGTAATCACAAACATCTGAAACCACTTGTGAACATTATCCGTCCTTTTTTTTTTTTTGGTTTACAGTGTGAGGTTCAAAGCTGCCTTTACCAGCACAATAGTTCAGCTTGTTGATAAAGTCTGATATTCTCCCATCCTCTACTCAGAGCACATTGCAAAATCATACATACCTTCAATTGATCTTACCTTGTAGAAAATGTATCCCTTTGAAGAAAAAAAGAACTAAAGCCATTAGCTAAAAAAATATTAACTAAAAATAGATATTCATTATGAAAAACATTCTGCAGTCCAAAAATGTACATTCAAATGGGTAGAGGAATTCACCAAATGCAGAGTACCCCAGTAACTTTTTTTTTATTACAACACCATCTAATCTTTAATCAAAAGCAGACATTTACAAACATACTACCAATGAAAAAAAGAGAATAAGAGGGAGGAAAACACCAAATATACCCTATAAAATCTCATCTCTAAACTCAACGTACACAGCACAGTGAGCCAAGGGCAAAAAACAAAACAAAATGGGGGGGTTATTATTCTATCTGGGGGTCATGCAGGCCATTTTATTGTTTCTTTTCAAAAAGAAAAAAAAAAAAAAGCATCACACACGTTCACAAAAAATAAAAAAAATAAAAGCAATTTGGAAAGTTTTTCTTTCACCTTTAGTTACTATGAGAAAGGTTTGGAAAACACAGCCTTACACAGGTCAGGGTCTTCCATCCACTGCTCTTAGTCAGGCAGGCAAGATGAACAGAGAGAAGGATGGGTGGAGAAGGAGAGAAGAGATGGAGGAGTGGAGGAAGAAGTAGTGGTGGTTGTAAATCTTCGCTGGTCATGCATGGTGGGGAAGCAGTGGTGCACAAAGTGTTCCTCCTTTTCCTTCCATTCATCCTTGATCCTCGTGAGCTGAAAGGTGTCAAAACGAAGGGTGGAGTTTGGTTTCGAGGCAGCCCAATAGCCCCCCCCAACCCAACCATTAAACCTCTAAACTACACATAGTGCACACCAGGGCTGGGTTCAATTCACCATCACTTTGAGTCACAAGGTTGGGGTTTGGCCACTCACTATGGCAAAGACTTAACAGAAAGCAGAACAATTCAATTAAAAGAAAAACATTTATGACATTAACATCAGATTCCCTTTAAATTCTCAGGTGACTGTGTATTGGCCCCAACCCTAGCACAGACAAAGAAATATGTCATGCAGACCTGAACACGAAATATCCAAGAAGCAGAGGTGAAATCTATCCTCATGTACAAAAAACATAAAATGCTATTCATCACAATTAATGACACATGGATTTTAAACTGCTAATTCATCCTGTGTGTATGTGGAGTAAAATCTTCTTGATTCTTACATTTTTAGGAAGACAGACAAGAAATAAGAACCATGTATAAAACTATCCTGGGACACTTAGGTTTCACATATATTTACAGAATTGTCAGTGATAGTAAATTCAAGGATAAACATGAGGAAAGAACTTATCTGAAAAGCAAAGCTATGCTGAGGTGAAAAGCACTCATTCTCCATTGTAGACAGATTAAGCAAGCAAATTACATAGTCTATCTTCACAGGGTCACTTCTACATATTACACCTGTTTAATGTGGTCTGCATAAATTATGAAGTTTTCTGGGAAAAGGGTAAATATTAGATGTAGAACAAAAACAGTATATCTGTCTCTGTATTGACATTTCCCAAAAAAGCTAGCTTCTACAGTACACATATCAAGGTTTTTCACCCATCAATGTGATGGGGTGACGTTACTCAAATGCAGTTTTCAATAAAGAGCGATTCTCAAAATGACTTTCTTCCTCTCCATCATGTTTTATTTTAAACTTTGTTCTAAAATCCTCAAGCTTGTATTGTTGAAAACTGTGACAACACTAGTTTTGAGCAATAGAGTAAAACCTAGAGAAGGGAGAGTAGATCAAAACTACGACGACAAAGGCACCAAACTGACTCAGCAGATAACACTTGGCCACAAGAACTCTTACTGTGGCTCTCAAAAGCATCTCATGACTTCAACAGATTAGAGAAATAAAGTCCTCTTAATGTCAATGTGATTCAGTATAACCCGGTATGTTCTGGTAATCATAAGGCCAGTGAAGAAGCAGTAATATTTTGTGTTATGAGAAAGACAGAGTCCATTTTGTGAGCTACAGGCAACTAGAAAGACAACCTCTTGCTCATAATTATAAATGGCAGCAGCAAAGCTCTGTAAGCCAGCAACTGTGATCTACTGACCCAATTATATCTCTCCAGATTTGAAATCCGTCTTCAAAAAAATAATACATTTTTCAGGTGAAATGACAACAATTCCGATATAGAAAGTGACTTCAATTAACTAGGTGTTCCTCTGACTTCAAAATTAAGTTTACTGGGGCCTGATAAGAGGCATTGCTTTATAAGGTGCAAAGATGCCCAGCAGTGGCATCACCACCGAAAAAGCACCAGGTCACATCAATACAGATGATTTTACATGGTTCAAAGGTTTAAATGCATGTTGAAACTTGATTTGTTTTTGCTATATAAAGAATCTTTATATGGCTGATAACAAAAACAGCCGTGAATATTTTACACATTGCACTAGTAAAAGTCAATGGCATGGCTTGATACACAAGTTAATTAAAGAGGTCTATTATATCCAGTACAAGTGGGGATGGGCATGAATCTTTGTCAGTGGTCAAATTATATCAA